CCGCGGGCAAGTACAGGCAGGAGGGCAAGAACTACGAGGTCAACGACGGTGAGGAGGTTTTTGGGGGGGGTTGATACAGGCCCAGCTTTGGTGTGTGTGTATATGGGGACGGGGGCCGGGCTGTGAGTTTGATGGTCCAGGATGGTGAGGCCGGGGGTTGATCGGGTGGGGGTCGATTGTCCAGGACACAGAGCATGAGGCTGGAGGGGGTGGGGCGCCCGGGTGGGGGTTGTGGAGGTCCCGGGCGGTGCGGCGCGAGGGGGGGCGGACGGCCGTGGGGCCAGCGGCCCAGATTGTTTCGGTGTGTGGGGGCCGCCTGTTGGCGTGCTCGGCCTGCATCGTATCGGGGTCGGCTGTGGGGCTTCAGGCTCTTGTTTTGGAGGGGCCCTGCGTGTGCTGTTCAGACCTGTGACGGGTGGCGGCTGGGAGGGGCCTAGAGTCCGCGTCATGAGTGTTTCGCCGCTTGGATTGCCCGGCGCGGGCCCCACACGCCTGCCTGCCGACTCAATCTATCACCCGCCCTCACCCGCACCCCCCGCTCAGCGGACATCATTTTTTTCAAGTTCAACGTGACCTCCGCCAAGAAGTAGAGCGTTTGACGGCCAGATCCCTGCTGGTTGCACAGAATGTTTTTCTTTTGGTATGTAATGTACAGACAGCAGCCCTGAAACAAACGCTTTGGGGCCTGCGGCCTGCTTGCCAGCGCCCTCCACCGCTGGCAACGCTCCTGCCGCGCCTCACCGGTGGTACCATGGCCCCTGGCCCATCGCCATGTCAGCTTACGTGCGCAGCAGGGGTGCCACGGATCCGACACTTCGTGCTTGGGCAGCACCAAGGTACTGTACGAGCCACTCTGAGTTGCTCCGACAAGGGCCTAGTGTCATGAGACAAGGGCCCAGTGTCATCTGCAGGGGTTTGATATTGATGTGAAGTGGAGATGTTGGAGGGATTGCAGGGAGGCAAGTGGAACAGGTGGGCGCTGGCCGGCAGGGACTGGCAGCATCCGTCAGCTTCGTCTGCTCGAGCTCTTAAACCGGCGAACAAACCCAGCAGCCACAATAGCCAGTACAGCTGGGAATGACGAGCTCAGCTCGAAATTGCACAGCTGCTGACGGCGGCTGACACTTAACTACCACACAACTCTGAAATGTGGTCACCAGTATTGCCATCAGGACTCCAGTCGCCGATTGACATCAGCGCCACCTGGCTGCTGCCCTCAATCAAACGGCATCTACTCCCTTCCTCTGCAATTGCAGATCTGGGTTGTTATTGCCTTAAGTGGTGCAGCAAGATTTCTGTGTTGCGCACAACAAATTTGCACCAATGTGATTGACAAACCAAGTGTTTTGGATGCGGTCGCCTGCCCAGCTGCTCTGTGAAGTTTGCAAGCACAGAACAGGTCTGAGAACAGCAATAGACGGAAGCGCAATACCTGCATAACATAGTTCCATTTTGGCGTCCATGCTGCCTAGGAACGCGCTTCCAGCTTCAGACGCTTTGCTCACATAGTCATCATCATAGTACCAGCATAAAACTTTCTGCAGTTGCCTTTTTAATGCCCAAAGCCCAGACTGCCGATTGACAGCTGCAATGTGCTGTTGCCAGGCTGTCGACATGCAAGCGCGCAGCAGCAGTAGCACATATTTCAGGCATGAGGACCAGCAAAGGCAACACCTGAGTTGTCATCAACACGATTCTGCTCTTGCGACCATGCATTGGCACCACTCAAATGGAAGCACTTTAAGCTGACCTTCGTTTTGATGCTTATCGGCCACAAGCGTGAAGGTTGCAACAGCATGGTGCTGGCTGTCGGCGGTTGAATTGCGGTTTCCAGCTCAACGGCAGGTGGTTATATACTGTATCCACACTTTGTATTGGCTATTGCAGCTGCACCGGAGCACAGGGCACCGCTGTTCACTCTCGTTGCTGCCATCTGCTGCCTGGCACCACTCAGCCCACATATGCAGCCCTGAGATTGCATCCCGCTGGCTTCTGGCGGGCGGCAAGGTCGGTGAGTCAGGGTTACCTTGGCACAGTCAGAGCTCACAGTGGCCCCTACATCTCTACATCACAGAAACAGCGCCGTGACCCCTGGAGGTGCTGCACATGTGGGCCGCACGCCTAATCGCCCCTGCGCAGTCGCTTTCTTGTGGAGCCCCGGGACACCTCGTCCCGCAGCCGCCGCAGCCGCCCCGCCTCGTCGTCAGCCAAGGCTCGCAGCCGCCGCAGGCGCTCCCACTCCTCCGCCAGCGCCGCCCGCGGGCGCACCTCCTCCGCGTCGACCCCGGCCGTGGCCGGGCGCAGCAGCCGCTCCTCCTCAAGGCGCGCGCCCTCCACGACGTCTCGGTCCACCCGCGCCGTCTCCTTTTTGGCCAAATCGTGCGCGAGCGCCACGAGGGACCTTTCGCGCGCCTCCGCTGCGTCCGCCGCTGCCGTCGCCCGCTGCAGCCGCTGAGCCTGGGCAGCGGCCAAGCGCTCGGCCTCTGCGCGCTCGGCGTCGAAGCGGGCCCTGCTGGCGTCGAGGCGCCTCATCTCCGCCGCCGCGCCCGTGATGAGCGCCGCCAGGCCCAGCGGCAGCGCGCGCCGCTCCTCCTCGAGCGCGCGCCGCGTCTCCTCCAACGCCTTGTGCGCGGTGCTGATGCATGCGTTGTTGTGGCGG